GTAGAAGCGGTGCATCGGTGCACGCCCGGGATCCGAACCCGGGCCGCCAGCAGCGGAGCGCGCATACTTAACCAATAAGCCACGGGGCCGGCCCTCTTAATATCTCCTTCATTTTTGAAGCATAGTTTTGCTGGAAACAGAATTCTTGGTTGACATTCTTTTTCTGCATAATTGGACTATGTCATCCTCCCACCTTTTGGCCTCTATAAGGAATGAGAAGTCAGTTGTTAATCTGACTGAGGATTGCTTTAATGATGAATGGCTTCTCTTACTACTTTCACGATTCTGTCTTTGGCCTTTGACAGAGATGTCTATGTGTGGATTTCTTTGCTTGATTCTTTTTGGAGTTTGTTCAGCTTCCTGGATATGTAGATTAATGTTTTTCATCCTCTGGAAGTTTCAGCCATTATTTCCTCAAATATTCTTTTTGCCCTTTTATATGTTTCCTCTCTTTCTGGGACTCCCATTATATGTAAATTGGTACACTTCATGGTATCCCACAGGTCTCTCAGGCTCTGTTCTTTTTTTTTTTCATTATTTTTTTTATGTTCCTGAGACTGGATGTTTTCAGTTAGCCTGTCTTCAAGTTTGCTGATCTTCTGACTGCAGAGATCTGCTATTGAACCCCTCTAGTGCATTTTTCATAATTTCTGTCTTTATTGGTATTCTCTGTTTGCTGAGATATTGTTCTTATACTTTTAATTCTTGAGACTGTTTTTTTTTTTGGTTCTTTGAGCATATTTATTATAGCTGATTTAAAGTCTTTATCTCATAAGTCCATCTTCCTCAGGGATGGCTCGTATTGACTGCTTTTTTCCCCACAAGTATGGCCTATGGATTTCAGTTTCTTTCTGTGTCTTGTAATTTTTTTGTTGTCAATGAAACCTGGACATTTTAAATAATACAGTGTGGCAATTGTGGATATCAGATTACCTCTCCTTCCCAAGATTTGTTGTTTTTGCTACTTGTTGTTGTTGTTGCTGTTTGTTTAGTGACTTTCTTAGTTTGCTAGGATTGGCGTTACGTGGTATCACAAACTGAGTGGCTTAAACAACAGAAATTTATTGCCTCACAGTTCTGGAGGCCAGACATCTAAAATCAGGATGTCAGCAGGGTTGGTTCCTGCTGGGGGCTGTGAGGGAAGGATCATTTCCAGGCCTTTCTCCTTGATTTGCAGATGAATGTCTTCATCTTTATATGGCTTACTCTGTGTGTGTGTGTGTTTGTCTCCAAATTTCCTCTTTATAAGGACACCAGTCAGATTGGATTAGGGCCCACCCTAATGATCTCATTTTAACTTGATTACCTCTGTAAAGAACCTATCTTCAAATAAGGTTACACTCTGAGGTCCTGGACGTTAGGACTTCAGCATATGAATTGGGGTTGGAGGGACACAATTCAGCCCGTAACAGTAACTTTCCTGGACTAATTCTGTGAGGTTCAGGTCAGAGATTTTCCTTTGCCACAGGGCTCTGGGTGGGTGTTGGGGATCCAGTAATTGACAACTCTGCCTAGTCTTTACTTCCCACCTGCACAGAGCTTCTGGGTCAACCAGGAGTGAGAGATTAGGGCCTTCTCTGATCTTTCCTGGGCAGGCACATGGCCACCTAGATCCCTAGACATGTGGGAGCTTTTTAAAGCCTCCTGTGGGTGTCTCATTTTTCAGCTTTTGCTTTCATATTTTTTGACCTGCCTCTTGCCTTGCCAGCTGGTATCCCAGCCTCAGGCAACTGCAATATGAGGCAGTTGCCACTGATTGTTTTTGACAAATTTCCTGGGGAATTGGGCTGTTTTCAACTGAGTGAGCTCTGAGTTGGGTCAAATAAAGACAAGTCCTACAAAGGGCTTTTCTAAAGAGCTGCCAGACAGGCCAGATAGTGATGGTTCTTTGTCTTTGGGGTATTGGGGACCATTCTGCCTTCTTCAGTGGCAGTGAAGCTGCTGGTTCCCACAGCTACCATGGAATTGGGAAGAGGAGATGGGAATGGGTCAAGTTAAAATGCCACAAACCTCGTTCTTACCAAATTCAGCTGTTTTTCTTGAATAAATGCTCCTCAGATTATAGTCTTTAATTTCTAGAATTCTGAAAAAGTTGATTTTGACAATTTTTGTCAGTGTTTTTGTTGTTTCTTTGGAGGAGCAAATTTTAGAGGTCCTTATTCTGCCACTCCAGAAGTGCCTCGAGATGCACTTAAAAATTTTTTCCAGGGCCAGCCTGGTGGGCAAGCGGTTAAATGCGTGCGCTCCGCTGCAGCGGCCTGGGGTTCGCTGGGTTTGATCCTGGGTGTGCACCGATGCACCGCTTGTCAAGCCATGCTGTGGCGGCATCCCATATAAAGTAGAGGAAGATGGGCATGGATGTTAGCCCAGGGCCAGTCTTCCTCAGCAAAAAAAAAAAAGAGGAGGATTGGCAGATGTTAGCTCAGGGCCGATCTTCCTCACACACACAAAAACATTTCCAATCTTTTTGGACTTAGACTATTATAAAATATGGGAAAATACCCATGGCAGTGTTAAATTACACTCAAGTTTCTAATGTTTTCTGTACTTCATTGTCATGGACAGGCCACAGAGAAATTGCAGACTTCACTCAGAGCAGACACAGTCTCAAAAGGAATAGCTCTTCCAGGAAAAGTCACATTTTCAACTTTATTTCTGAGTGACCTAGCGCTGGAGATATGGTGCTCAGGGAGGCTCCCCACACACTTTGGACAACCCATTTCCTAGACTGCCCCCTGCAAGCCTGCCAAGACTCTTAGGATGGGTTGTTGCAATTGATGGGGCCTGGGCTGTGTAGGTTTCACCTCCGCCACCCTTCCTGACAGGCAGGTCTGCCTGTCCTCTGATATGGGGTGGAGACACATGAAGGAGTGACTGTGGTTCTGGCACTGGGAGATGGCCGTGCCTGGGCAGGCAGGGGATGCATGGTTCCAGCAGCCTTTCTGGAAGATGGGGCTTTGCTTTGGTGTGGCAGTTGATCTGAATAGGCTCTGCTGTTGACCCCTAGAGTGGGGGGGGTTTCACATGTCCTAGCTTGTAGGACCTGTGACCCACTTGCCTATGGATTTTTTTTGTTGTTGTTAAAGTATTTTTTTTATTGATGTCTTAATAGTTTATAACGTGAAATTTTGATTGTACATCTTTGTTTGTCTATCACCATATACATGTCTCCCTTCACCACTTGTGCCCACCTCCCACCCCCTTTGCCCCTGGTAACCACAATACAGTTCTTTCTGTCCATGTCTTGGTTTATATTCCACATATGAGTGAAATCATGCACTGTTTGTCTTTCTCTTTCTGGCTTATTTCACTTAACATAATACCCTCCAGGGTCCATCCATGTTGTTACAAATGGGACAATTTTGTCCTTTTTTATGGCTGAGTAGTATTCAATTGTATATATACACCACATTTTCTTGATCTAGTCATCAGTCAAGGGACACTTGGGTTGCTTCCACTTTTTGGCTATAGTGAATAATGCTGCAACTAACAGAGGGGTGCATAAGCCTCTTTGGATTGTTGATTTCAGGTTCGTTGGATATATTCCCAGTAGTGGGCTAGCTGGATCATAGGGTATTTCTATTTTTAATTTTTTGAGGAATCTCCATACCATTTTCCATAGAGGCTGCACCAGTTTGCATTCCCACCAGCAGTAGATGAGGGTTCCCGTTTCTCCACATCCTCTCCAACGTTTGTTGTTTTTTGTCTTGGTGATTATAGCCATTCTAACGGGCGTGAGGTGATATCTTATTGTAATTTTGATTTGCATTTCCCTGATGATTAGTGATATTGAACATCTTTTCATATGCCTATTGGCCATCTGTATATCTTCTTTGGAGAAGTGTCTTTTCATTTTCTCTGCCCATTCTTTGATCAGGTTGTTTGTTTTTTTGTTGTTCAGTGTGTGGGTTCCTTATATATTATGGAGATTAACCCCTTGTCAGATATATGTTTTGCAAATATTTTCTCCCAGCTGGTGTGTTGTCTATTCATTTTGATCCTGGTTTCATTTGTCTTGTAGAAGCTCTTTAATCTGATAAAGTCCCACTTGTTTATTTTTTCTTTAGTTTCCCTAGTCTGACTAGGCATGGCATCTGAAAAGATTCCTTTATGACCAATGTCAAGTAGCGTGTTGCCTACATTTTCTTCTGTGAGTTTTATAGTTTCAGATCTCACCTTCAGGTCTTTGATTCATTTTGAGTTAATTTTTGTGAATGGCGATAGCAGATGGTCCACTTTCATTCTTTTGCATGTGGCTGTCCCGTTTTCCCAGCACCATTTATTGAAGAGACTTTCTTTTCTCCATTGTATGTTGTTAGCTCCTTTGTCGAAAATTAGCTGTCCGTGTATGTGTGGTTTTATTTCTGGGCTTTCAGTTCTGTTCCATTGATCTGTGTGTTTGTTTTTGTACTAGTACCATGCTGGTTTTTTTTTTTTAAACTTTTTTTTTTATAGTTTATTTTTTTTATTTTTTTCCCCCAAAGCCCCAGTAGATAGTTGTATGTCATAGTTGCACATCCATCTAGTTGCTGTATGTGGGACGCCGCCTCAGCATGGCTGGAGAAGTGATGCGTCAGTGCGCGCCTGGGATCCGAACCCGGGCCGCCGGTAGTGGAGCACGCGTACTTAACCGCTAAGCCATGGGGCCGGCCCCAGTACCATGCTGTTTTGATTATTATTGCTGTGTAGTATGTTTTGAAGTCAGGGATTGTGATGCCTCCAGCTTTGTTCTTTTTTCTTAGGATTGTTTTAGTTATTCGGGGTCTTTTGTTGCTCCAAGTGAATTTTAATATTCTTTTTCCATTTCTGTGAAGAATGTCATTGGGATTCTGATTGGGATTGCGTTGAATCTGTAGATTGCTTTAGGTAATATAGACATTTTAACTATGTTTATTTTTCCAATCCATGTGCATGGGATGTCTTTCCATTTCTTTACGTCATTATCGATTTCTTTCAATAATGTCTTGTAGTTTTCATTGTATAGGTCTTTCACTTCCTTGGTGAGATTTATTCCTAGATATTTTATTCTTTTTGATGCAATTGTAAATGGTATTATCATTTTGAGTTCTCTCTCTGTTAGTTTGTTATTAGCATACAGAAATGCAACTGATTTTTGTAGGTTGATTTTGTACCCTGTGACTTTGCTGTAGTTATTCGTTATTTCCAATAGTTTTCCAGTGGATTCTTTAGGGTTTTCTATATATAAAATCATGTCATCTGTAAATAGTGAGAGTTTCACTTCGTTGCCTATTTGGATTCCTTTTATTCCTTTTTCTTGCCTAACTGCTCTGGCCAAAACCTCCAGTACTATGCTGAATAAGAATGGCAAGAGTGGGCAGCCTTGTCTCATTCCTGTTGTCAGAGGGATGGCTTTCAGACTTTCCTTGTTGAGTATGATGCTGGCTGTGGGTTTGTCATAAATAGCCTTTATTATGTTGAGGATCTTTCCTTCTATACCCATTTTGATGAGAGTTTTTATCATAAGTGGATGTTGGATCTTGTCAAATACCTTCTCTGCGTCTATTGAGATGACCATGTGGTTTTTTTTTTT